GGGGGGGGGGGGCGAAAAAATCTCAATATCTTCATGCTCTAAAAACTCAGGTGTCGACCACTATTGGTTTAAAAAGTTAATTGGTGTACACATCCAAGTACTAGCACCAGTAGTATAGATAGAAGTGGAAAAGAAGTCTAAATACGATCTCACTCCCACTCCCGAACGTGGGGTAATGGAGATATTGTAGAAACATTTTATATTCTTCTAAAATATAAATTGTGAAGGATAGAACTGATATCGGAATAGTGTGATCGGGACACGTAACGACCACATTCCGAGCGAGAACGTAGGACCACAACATTGTATGAAGTCGTTTTTATAGGGAGTTTTTTGAAGGTCACTGAACGGTCACAAATTAAAAAACAAATAAAAGAACCTACATTTGCATGGGAGCGTGAGTGGGGGAACCTCCTCAGGAGCAATTAAAATTAAAATTAATTTTAAAAAATTTATATCTGTATACTAATATGTCACTGATTTGCAGGGGCAGTGCCCCGTGCAATAATTTATTAATAATGATATTGTCCGAAAGTTGACTAAATGTCTTTCAGACAATGTATAAAACACATATTAATAGCTAGCAATTCTCAAATTGTCAATGTTGCAAAAGTAAAAAAATTAAAAAATTGCCCCAGCGGGGGTCTGAACCAGCGCTCGTTCGACCGCTTCGAACTACTGGTTCAAGGGGAAAAGGTAACTGTGTGGTTGGGATGACGTCATCGACTAGCGTGAACGCCGGCAAAGGTGGGGGAAGGGGGTAGGAGGTTCGCCGTCACACTCCAACTCACTAGCACTCGTCTTCGTTCGACAGCGGGGAGGAAATGTCGTTCCACTGGCCGAGAGAGGAAAGTAAGTACCCCCACTCGGCCCGCTTTACGGGGGAGAAACCACGAGTTCACGCCGCGTTGAATACTCGGGGGGGAGAGAGAGGATAGGGTAGCACCCTTGGGGGAGAGGAAATACGGGGAGAAACTGAGCGTAGGGGCTATCCAAACTCAAGCTGAATACTTGGGGTCGCACCTGTCGAACGCTGGGATTGGCCAGCGGCGGCGTCTTGCACGACAGATAGCGAATCCACTGGTGCATTACACTCAGTAGCGGTAGGTGAATACCAAAGCGTAAGCTTTGGGGGAATTGGTCAGGGATTAATAAAAAGACACGCTCTCATGCAATTCTCGTCCCCAATAGGGTAACACAAACTGACTAGCGGGTAATTAATGACTCCAATAAGTACCTTCTGGGCACCGCTAATTACCGGAAAAGAGAGAGAGAGAATAGAGCAGATGATGATTCTGATTTCAGGGCACGGGGAGCACTCACCAGATCCTCCAGGTTGTAGTCGCCCATCGATCGTTCTCAAGCTCTCCGTAGATGATGAACAATAGATAAATAAATAATCACTAAACAACACTAAAGTAGTGTCTTTTGTCTTTTGGCTTAGATAATTTGATAATGTGTAGCACCACTTAATTTAGTAGGGGAGGATGGGGCAAAACGGCCCCTCTTCAATCGTCAATATTTTTCGATTCAATAATCCGATTGAGATGAGTTAGAGCTCGTTTTGAAGAATGAAAAATTATCTTCAAAATGAAGTTGAAACTGGGAATTTTCACAATGTCATTCACAAGTTATTCAGAATTGAAGGGGGGCAGTTTTCCCCACCCTCCCCTATATCACAGATTTAGAGAAGAACAAAGTGAATACACGCCGTGCAGAAGGCACTGACGTGATTTGGTGCGTAACAAAAAGCAAGATGCACGATTTGAAGGAACGTGACGAAACTAAAAAAATTAAAGAAACTCGGCGTCCGGCGAGCACAAGGCTCACCGGGTACGACCGATGGGTATTTGCCTAACACCAAGCGCAGTATCTGTATCAGGGGGGATTTTAGGGGGGAACAAAGAATTAAACATTGATACATTCAAACCCAAATGGGGAATGTTTAAAATGACTCGATAGTTGGGGATGAAATAATTCTGACAGTTGAAAGTGATGAGAAGATAAAATCGGAAAAGGAATCCCTTTCCATCAGAAAAAAAAATTGAAAAAATATCTTTTCCGAAGAATTTCGAAAAAAAAAAATTTTAACAAAATTCTTAAAAAGATTTTAAAGGGTGGGAAATGAGTTGGAAAAAGATGGAGCATATATTAATTTTGAAATAATGCTTATTGGGCCGGTCCCGGCGGTACTGCAATACCGGGTCAACCCGTGGTGGAAACGGAGCAAGCTCCGTGCATCCACCTTTTTCCAAAAATCAGTTTAATATTCTGGCACTCCAATGGAGTGCGTATCAGATATTAAGCTGATAAGAACAGATAAAAAAGGCTTTATTGATGAAAGATCAGAGCGATTTCCCTGGAGGAGACATGCCTCCCCCAGGGTGATACATGTGAGGTGTGTGCCACCCTCGTCCAGGGTGGCAAGTAGCTGTACACTGTTAAAAAAAATTGACCCGAAATTCTAACAAAAATGTTGGAAGTTTTATTCACACATAGTGTGGTAAAATTACAACACTTTTTTTACAGTTATCATATGAGAATTTTCTAAGAAAAAAAAGGAATACTCGCATACACGAATATTGTAAAATTACTACATAAGAAGAGCAATTCTATTCCATTTGTGTTGTAAATTTACTACATTTACCTGTGGTAATTTTCCAACTTATTTAAATGAGATTATCAGAATTTTGCTACATGGGACTGTAGTAATTTTCTCATACCGGAATTACTATTTTACTACTTGAGTGCAATAATTTTCATTTAAAATTGTATGGTAAAAATCATACAGTTATATTCGGATATTCTCATGCAGGTATTGGGATTTTCTTTTTTTTTTATAATTTTCAAATATGAATAATGAACAAAACATTACAATTCTCACGAGCAAAACCGATAAATTTATTAAAAAGTATTGAGAAAGTAAAATCTATCCATTAATATTCGGAAAAGTCATTAAATTATTTCGTAATGTTTCATAATTATTTTTGTTAAATGGAAATTGCACATAAATTCATCATGAATCTGACTGAAATTAGTCGAAATAATAATGGCAAACTATCCCTAGCAAAGATCTAGCAAGAATTTTCTCAGCATAATTTATTGATTTCCCATTTTAATTTCCTCCGTTCAAAATATGCTGATGTGGTGAGCTTCATGCTTTTAGGGATGTTCTACATATTGCTGGAGTCCATCGATGAATTTCTTGACTTTCAGGTCAAAAGGCGTCGCCTTCTGTTTTTTCGATGCTCTCTTGTGTCCAGTTTTGGGATTCATTCTGAGCAAACATCTGGAATGTAGAATTTCATATTTTATATTGTGAAATAAGCATTTTGGCAATAACGACAAGATGAATCAGGAATTTCCGAATGACTCAACAATTATGAATTATTATTTCTCTAAATATGATTCGTATCTACATATATTTCTTTGAAAAAATACCTCTGAATGAATTCCAAAGTACGGGAGAGTGTGTCTGGGTACAGAACTCTGAAAACGTAGTAAACGGAGAACAGCAATAAAATTCCATTAAGAACTCCATTCACTGGGATCAAGATTTTCTTGTCCAGTGCCACTGCGTGTGTTGCAGTNGAGGAATAATTGCTCCTCAGTCCGGGGGAATGAAAATGAACCGTCTCACTTCACCCAGACTGTATTGCAAGGGAAAACCGCGAGCCCACGCCGCGTTAGGCTCACGGGGGGAGGGGGGAGCGGGGTAAAACCCTTCTGGGGATGGATGTTAGGAGGGAAACGAGTGAAACGGTTGTCCAAACCCAAGCCACTTGCTTGGGGTCGCACCTGTCGAACGCTGTGATTGGACAGCGGCGGCGTCTTGCACAACAGTTAGCGAATCCACTGGTCCGTTATACTCCAATGCAAGGGAAGAAAGCCGAGGCGCTTGCCTCGGGGGAAATAGTCGAGGGAAAAGGAAAAAAAGAACGGGGCACCCGCCTGCCGCCAGCGACGAGAAATGGGGATAATTATATCAGTTAGTGTGACTAATAAGGGGGGGAGGCCAAAGATATTATTTTAGAGAATAGATAATCGGGCACTGCCATCAGAATGGCGAGGGTCAAGGCACTAGTAACACTCACCCCGGGTCCAGACGGTTGCCGTCGCTCCTCGATCGTTCTCGGCTTTTTAGTTAGGAGAATAGAAAGGGCAATTCGCCAATTCACTTGGACACAGCACAATAATAAATAAATAAATATCTTAAAGTCTAATAGTCTTTCTTTTTTGTTTTTAGAGCTCCATAATTAAGTCTTTAAAGCAGTGCCCCGCTGTGCAGAAGGCATAGACAGGGAAAGCGAATCACTAACACTCACACTTAGAAATTAATTTACACAAAATCGTTTAAACTAGAATAAAAATCTCGGCGTCCCGCGAGCAGAAGGCTCACCGGGTACAACCGGAAGCTATTGGCCTAACACCAAGTGCAGTATCTGTGTCAGGGGGGATTTTAGGGGGGAACAAATAATTAAACGTTGATACATTCAAACCCAAATGGGGAATATTTAAAATGACTCGATAGTTGGGGATAGAATAATTATGAGAAGATAGAATCGGAAAAAGAATCCTCCGCCATCAGAAAAAATGGAAAAAAATATCCCTCTTCCGAGAAATCTTCAAAAAAAAAAAAAAAAAAAAAATTTTTTTTTTTCAACAAAATTCTCAAAAAAAAGAAAACTCTTAAAAAAGGGTGGGAAATGAGTTGGAAAAAGATGNAGATCGCCCTGAGAATAAGAAATAGCATATTATTGCCTGGGATGTCATTATGGATCGCAAATCTGGTTNGTTGGAAAAAGATGGAGCATATGTTGATTTTGAAATAATGCTTATTGGGCCGGTCCCGGCGGTACTGCAATACCGGGTCAACCCGTGGTGGAAACGGAGCAAGCTCCGTGCATCCACCTTTTTCCAAAAATCAGTTTAATATTCTGGCACTCCAATGGAGTGCGTATCAGATATTAAGCTGATAAGAACAGATANTGACTGATATCAATGGAATTTCATTCTTGGTAACATTCTGGGCTGCATTTTTAGCCTCAGTAATCATTGATCTCATGGGAGTTCCAGCTACAGAGGGATCATTCTTCTTTTTGTGCTCTTTGAGAGTCTCCTCGATTTTTAAAAATTTTCTGATGGGCTTAGCATATTTTTGTAAAGCTGTTCTCCACTGTTCCTGAATATTCTCTTTCCCTACTAGAATTTCCATGTGTTGCAAGATCGCAAAAGAATTTTGTAGATACGGCCATTTGGAGAAGACAATTTTCACATCAGAATGAGCAAGGATATGTTTCCTCTGGAGTGGATAGGTGTCTTTCAATAATTTCATGATTTCTGGTGTGGGTGTGGCTGATTTTTCATGATCTTCAATCAGCTTCATGCGTTTCTCCTCTTCAGCTATTGATTCTTCTTCACCTACGTTGGGATCATAAGCAACACAACCATATTCATCCTCTTTACGTGATTGTCGGGCACCACTGGAAACTCCATTTTCATCATCGGAATCAGCCATTTCAATGCGCGTTCTTTTGGCCCGTTGTTTATCATCAGCGCGATAATTCACAGCGCTATAAATTGCCAAACCGAGACTGTTCCATCCTGTTCCTACAACATCTCCTTCAATGCTGTCCTCAAAAGATTGAGGATATTTTTTGTATATCTCCTCTGCAATTTTGAAAGAGGTTTTCCTCTGTTTATCGTTCAATTCATTAACGATATAGTCTGCCATATCCGCGACTACTTTCCTCCTCTGGGCTCGTGAAACAGGCTTTTTCTCAAGACATGTCTCTAGCACTTTAGTTGGAAATTTGTTCCAGAGTTCACTTCGAAAATCGACTAGTCCTCGGATATCTGTGGTAGTAGATGATGAAGGAATTGGCGAATGTGAGGGATCGTCTATGGACAAAATATCAAGCAATCATGAGTGATACAGATAGATATATAAATAATGAACATATTTTTGGTGATATATCAATCGCAAAGAAATTATATAAAATTTACCTGTTTGTCCCTGAGTACCGGTTGAATCTGGCATGTCTTCAGGTACAAGTTTGAGTGTTAAAATAGATTTGTTTGCCATTTCCAAGAAAATTTCGTCATCGTCATCAACATCCAAGATTACATGGTCTTCGTTAAGGACAATCTATATCAAAATTTAAGAAAGAATTAGCCTGATGATGATTACTCACTGTAGATGTAACAATTACCTTGTATGGTTTTTTTGCAAGATTCAATTTTGCAGTACCCTTCTGGATAACGTCCGACAGCGAAGAAACTTCAATTAATTTCTTCGGAAATCCACTATGTGGACAGATCTTGACAGTTACTGACATCGTGAAGCTTCTGTCATGTTACAAATAATGAATAGAGTACAAGTTATTCAATGTCACAAGATGAATTTAAAAAAAATCTACTCATTAAATTATGCGTGCAAAATTCATTTAAAAAATCTGTCTATTCTACAAGCCTTTACGAACTATCCCATAGTTAGGTTTCACACAGAGAATCGAACCACTGTTATAAATATGAAGTTTTTCTGTACTGGACAGTTCCTTGAAATTAATACATTGATATCTTAAAGGTTTCCTCAGCTCATATGTTCGAAAGTGTGGATGGAAAATTGTTTCTAAAACTTCTACAATGAAAAATACAACGTCGTTTCTATCATCATACAGAGGAGCAATGATTCTGCCGACCTGAACTTGATATTGATACGCTTTATAAGAGACAATGAGACCATCTTCTTTTCGATAACAAACGTTCCTTATCGTTATTTCATTACATTCCCGAAATGTGTCAGATAACCTCATATTTCTCACAGCTTCTTGTATTTGAGGATTGTAATGATTTACAAAAAAATGGGAATCGCCTTTTGTTTCAATTGAACACCTGATATCACCCCCCATTCGAATATAACTTTGAAACAATTCATGTTTTATGCTCAAAGTTTTGGTAATGTTGATGAAATTCTTACAATTACGTACAACTCTTTTAAAAAACATGTGTTTACTTTCAAAACGAAGTGTCCATACTTTCATGAGTGGCCCAAATTGCAGTATCAAGTAAGGATAATGCATTAAATAGTGATGCTTAGGGCGCAATGGGATCGGTATTTGTTTTCCTAAATGAATATATTCATTGATTAGGTCTTGTAGGACTAACAAACACGATTTATGGATCTCTGGAGCTATAACAATTTCAATTATTTCCGTTAATATAATTATTGCTCTCCAATTGTTATCATTAACATCAACTATTTTATCCTCAACAAGTAATGGGAGTAGACGCAGGAACGTCCAGAGCTGCCATGCGCCCCCTGTAATTTTATCAGAATTCTTGGATATCGTGTTTGGTTTATCTCGCCGATCTTCTCTCGAATAATCAAAGTTCTCAATTCTGTCATTTAATAGTTCATAAGAAACCCATTTTTTCACTTTAATTATTTTATCTAAAAATAATTTCACATCGTACATAATAAGGCATTCGAATAGATCATGTCCAAGGCATGGAGGTAATCCAGGATTAGCTACATGAAAATGAGATAAACGATTGAATATTGAATCGAATTTGATACCTTTCTATAGATCAATTCATTACTGAGTAATTGCATTTAGGATGATGCTTTGTCTTAGCTAATTTTGTACGTCTTCAAGCCACTTGAGTGGCGCATATGAAAATAAGAGAGACTTCAATAATGGAGATTGTCAGCCCTCCACCCAGAAGGGGTGAGGGAGACCATAGCCCATTCCAGAAAAAAAAACAAAAAAAAAGGAGAAATGTGAATATGTATATATTTACAAATGCTCATGTTAGAGCCCTAAGCAACCATTCACACTTCGCTGGGGATGCAGTGGGATTCAAGTATTAGAGTGAGTTAATCATTGATTTAAGAATCACTGCGTCCCCCACATACTTAATTCTAGCATTAATCCTAAGAGGAGCGACAACATTTACCCATTTGTTTCCAAGCATAATGAGTGGATAGAGAAAAGAAAAAGAAGAAAAATGAATGGGAATGAATGGATGGCTGAGTGATTGAGGGGAAGCAGTCAGAGACGAGAAGAGCCTCAGCGAGGTGGCGGCACATGAGGGACAGTATATTGTCTAACTCCGGAGATATGCTCCACGTACATGTCCCTGGACCAGTGGATCGTTTCGGAAACAATGAGCCGGCGCATCATTGACGCATAGCGTGGGTTAACACGTAGACGTCTCAGCACCGGTTCATTGGCAGGGTCCCAGGTGCCTAGGGCGCCAACAATGATCGCCTCCACGTCTACGGAATAGCCCTGCGCGTGCAATGCGGCGGCGATGGGGGCGTATTTAACAATTTTCGAGTTCCTCGCAGCCTCGAAACTCTCAATCCTGTTCTCGAAGGGCACTGTAATGTCAACGATCGTAATTGATCTATGGCTCTCATTCTTGATCACCAGATCGGGTCTGAGTGCCACCAAGTCATCATCCTCAATTCCATCGACTCTGCGATTGATGTCAATCGTTCCTGGCAGTTTGATTGCCTTGGCCAGTCGATTTACGATTGCATCATGGCGA